GTATGTATGTATGTATGTATGTATGTATGTATGTATGTATGTATGTATGTCTCCAAAGATTTGACAGCATTTAAATTTTCTATAAGTAAACTCCAATCCATATTTTGATTCTGACATTTCTCCAAATCTGATGAACACAAGTAGGAGGAATAGTCAGCCTATAGTAAAAAGAGGGGTGGGATTCAAAAATTCCAGCAACCGGTTCGCTGGCCAGTTGATGGATGGGCGTGGTCATGTTGGGCATGGCCCACCAGTACTTCTGGTTTGGCCATTTTTCACCTTCCCAAGGGTCCACAGGTTTCCCTCGGGCCTCTGGGAGAGCGAAAACGGCCTCCCACGAGCTCTGGAATCTCCCTGGAAGCCGGAAATAGGTCCGTTTTGCGACTTCCACTTTGGCTGTTTTTTGCCTTTCCATGGGTCCAAAGGCTTCCCTCGGGCCTCTGGGAGAGCGAAAATGGCCAACCCCCCAGCTCTGGGGGCCCTCCAGAAGCTGGAAACAGGCTGGTTTCTGGCTTTCCAGAAGGCCTGTTTTTGCCTCGCCCAGAGCTTCCGCGCAGACCCTGCACTTACCTGCATTGAAAATGGGCCATGTGGCGACTCCTGGGAGGGGAGGGGCAGGCAGGCCAGCCAGTTGATTCAAATACCGGTTTGGCAAACCAGATGCAAATTTAACATCCAGTTCGTCTGAACCGGTCGAATCGCACCCCTGGTAAAGAGTATTAATCTATCAGGGAGACTTTTTGAAAGCGGAGACAACTAGAAATTAATTGTTTGGGGGGGGGGGAATCCTGTCTCCTATCTTTTAATGAAAATGTTATATTTAGTTAAATATGTCCCAGTAAAATTTAAGCATGCATACTTACAAGCGCAATGTGTATTATTTGTTATACAAAAACATTTTACTGGCACATATTGGTAATTGGCAGGCAGTAACAGAATGCTGGAGTAGAAAATTAGAAATAGCTTTAACCCAAGAGATACTACTTTAATTTTAAGAGATCTTTTTCCTTTCTTTTGCTCTCTGCCTTAAGAGACTTGACAGCTTGACTCTCACTAAGACACTCTTAATTAACAAGTTATATTGTTCCAAAGGAGTCTTATCCATTAACTTTTTTCTTTGCATGCTTCTGAAAAGGCCGAAGTAAATGCAATATATTGTTGAAAGAAACAAATTGCCTCCTTTATCATCTTAAAATAATAAAGCTAAAAAAAACTTTTACAAACTAAATGCATGTGTGTGCGTATCAACATAATGTCTATCTATGAGACATTTTTATATCTATTTTTGGATACATGTGTTTGCCATTTTATCTCAGTTTACTTGCTCTTTGAATTTAATATACATTTCCTGATTTTAGTCTCTCTAAACCAGGTAGGAGCTGTAACACAACTGAATGAATATCATCATCATCATCATCAATCCAGTTATGTCATTAACTTGATCCTTTGAATTAGATCATAAAGCAGTACATAGCAAATCTTTGTGTTTGAATGAAGACAGCTTCTCTTCACTTTGACACAGCTTAAATATTTTATTTCTCCTATATTGAAGACATAAAATTATTTATTTTCATTGTTCTCTGCAGTGAATCTTATCCAGGCCCCACATCTTTCCCAAGCATCATGTGTTAAAATGGACATACCAAAACCACACCCATCTGGACTGTAAGATCTGTACGTCAGGAGTTTTTCTTCTTTTTAATTGAAAGCAATATTTTGAGCCCATGCACTCAACAGTCCAAATGTTAGTTATAACACAGTATTCCTTAAACAATTCTTCTTTTAGAGAGCTCTTAATTGTCATGTTTCTGTTTACTGGAACAGAGCAATGGTAATTCACACCCATCCTGGAGAAATAACAAGTGTGCCAACTGTTCAAGGAAAAATGGAAAAAAAGAGCAAGAAACCCCCCCACCCCCACCCCCACACACAAGGGGACAGTTTCCTTATGCTCTTTTCTAGTGCACAGCTCCTTTAGAAACAGCCAAAGGCGCTGCTTAAAAAACAAAACAAAAACTTAACATCCTGCAATGTCTTTTTATAGAACTTATATTCAGGTTGGTCTGATTTTAAAATATACATCTCATAAAAAGTTAACTGAGGCAATGGCAATAAGTGTAGTTGAAAAACAGATGCATGAAAGTTTATTTCCTTATCCTCCAGGTTCCTACATCACCATTACCTAATCCATTTGGATTTTTTTTTCTCCTGCTCACCAATTTATAATTCTTGTTCAACAGCTAATATTGTGAAAAATCTGAAAGGGTAGTAATTTTTATTCTCTTCCTCAAATGACCAAAAAGATTTTGTGTGTGTGTGTGTGTGTGTGTGTGTGTGTGTGTGTGTATGTGTGTTGTCTTTCATTTTATTAAAAACCTGAATTTCACATTTGACCAAACAGGACCAATAGAATTTTAAATAAAATGCTTTGGTGGACAAGATTTCTCCATGGTGTGTTATTTTTACATTTCCTCTAAAGGTGATCTTATTCCTTAATAAGCACTTAATTTTTTTATGTTCAAATCTCAAGCAATGGTCAATTACATGGTATTTCCAGAAGTCAAGTGCTGAGGTTTCCAACTT